CTGAGTGGAGGCTGCACAGAGCCAGGGGATTCCCCTCTCCCTGCCAGGCCTCTCAATACAAACTCTGCACCTGGCAACTGTGGCGTCATCGCAGTGGAGCTTTCTGATTGGCCACAGCCTGGCCGGCAGGGCTTGGTGGGTGTCAGACTTCCTTGGCTGGCCCCTCACAATCTCTCTCCAGCTCAGACGGCAGCTGCCTGGACCACCTAGGGAAGAGGATGGCCCTGAGCAGAGCCCTGATCCTGGGGGTCCTCGCCCTGACCGCCATGCTGAGCCCCTGTGGAGGTGATGAGGACATCGTGGGTGAGTTCCTAGGAGTGGAGCAGTGGGAGGTGGAGGGGAGTGAGAGAGAGAGAGAGGCTGGGTAGAGATGCCCCACGGTTTTCCTCAGTGTCAAGAGGTATAAAACCTCATGGTTCCTTCTTCAGGGTACTGGTTAGCTAGTGTGTGAGGGCCATGGCTCACTAAGCACGGGATTCTGCTTCCCATGCCAGATCCAGGAAGGACAGCGTAGGGGTCTCTGTGGTAGTTGGTCACTGTAATCTCAAAACCTGGAGCTGTGTCCATGAATGGACAGCATTACATTACTAAAGTACATTAATGATTATTCCTGCTTAATCTGTAACCTCATATGTCAACTTACAAATGCTCAAATAAAATGGGTATTTGTGCTTCATAAACAGTGAAGAAACTATGCGGGCATGGTGATGCATGCCTGTGATCCTAGCACTTAGGACTTAGGAACCAAGTCAGGAGAATCTTGTACTTCAAGGCCAGCCTAATGAGACCCTGTCCCAAAAGCTCATTCATTCATTCATTAGTAAAAACCATGAATACCAACTTTTCTCACTTTTCCCTGTTCTAGGTTCAGCCTCATATTCTTCTTTAGTAAAGTAAGAAATATATTTATTTTAAAGTTTAGAACTTTCTGGGGAAAATTTAGTGAAGTTTTTTATTCTCAAATTGTCATCTAAAGTTATGGTTCTTCATGTCCTCTAAGGCAGTTCTTTAAATGCAGCCTGGGATATCTGATCCCACAAGCTGTGTAACTGTTAGCACAGTGCTGAGGAGCCAGCACTGCAGGGATACAAAAACAGTTTTCGTTTCTTTTGAAATTAGAACAAAAATGAAGATATGCATTTTAAGAAAGTGTTTTGCCATTAATAAAACCTGTGCTAGAGTGTCTTATATACAAAATATAATTTTCAACATTTTATGAAGGACGGGACCAGCAAATACGTGGGCTCAGAGGTCCTGATGCAGCCCTGGTGATCGCCAACCCTGATTTTCAGAAGGTTCTGCCACCTGTCGACCTGACAGTCATTCCCAGAGTCTCTATGATCCTCAAAAACAGCAACTGTCATTCAATACGTATTTTTAACACTCAATAAGCTATGTTTTGGGGGATCAAGGATGTAATTGCTAACTGCCCCTAGAGGGCTGCAAATGAGTGGTGGAAACAGACCACGGTGCAGGAAGCAGAAGGGCAATTGCTGAGCACAGGGGACCCAGCTGAGGCTGAAGCTGCATCAGTCACTGGGGCTGGCGGGCAGCAGGGTGATGGCCTCAGCAACACTTATGGCCCTGGACTAACACCAGCAAACGAATGATTGTGTAAATCGGTAGAAAAAAAGCCAAGATTTATTAAAAGGGTAAAGAGGCTTTGCTGGGGGCAAGGTTGTCACATGGCAAGCTGAGGCAGTCATGGTAGGCAGGGAAGACAGAACCAGAGGGACAGGCAAACCTGGGCATGCAGACGACAGAGGCTGGAGGCCATCATGTGGTGGGAAACATGCTGATGAGGAAACAACGTTGGTAACTGAGCAGAACCTTCAGAATGAAGCTGACTCCAGGAAACCCTAATTAATGACTTCATTCTGGGAGAAAGGAAATCCCTGCAGGGAGCATGAGAAGATGGGGCTCATTCTGATTGGCATGTGCTAGTGCAGAAGGTCAGGCCAGGAGCTGCTCACACTGTCCTCACAGAACTCACCACAGGGCGTTTTCTCCTCTACTTACCCAGCTCTCCTACTGTTCAGCAAGTTCTCTTTAGAGGCCAGGCCTGGCTGGAATCTTGCTCCTTAAGCCTGTCTATATATGACCCTTGTCGATACTCAGTAAATGAGGAAGGAGGAGAAAATGAAATACTAAAAGGCTTGTCCATGTCATGACTGAAAGTCTATTTGGGGTTATTTGTGTGACACCATCTACACTGGCTGCTGTTCTGCTGGGGCGTCTCACATGCTTGATGTCTGAGAAAGGAGCTTTAATTTTCCACGAGTCTGCAAGTGAATGCCGTGTTGATTAGAAGAAAATGAGAGGTTTAATAAACTCCTTCAAAGAAAGAGAGAGAAAGAGAGAGAGAGACGGAGAGACAGAGAGACAGAGACAGAGAGAAAGAGGTAAAGAAATGCAAAACCTAATAGAGTTTCCTTTCTTTTAAATTCCAGAAGACATCAGTGCCGTCCTCTGTGGATCTCAGTGTTAACAAACAGAGACCTTAGACACAATGGTGTCATGTATTTTATAAAGTCACCATTGTCTTGTATTCTTCCTCATACCATGTAAGAGTTAAAAGAAATTCTTGAGAAAATAAAAGTCTATAATACTTTTCCTTTTGTTGAAAAAAGTGCACAAGGAAATGTCCTGCTCTGAACCAATTCTGAAGGGAAGTGTGATAGATGCTATTAACTAGTGAAAAAGTATTGAGAGATTAAAAACTTGTAAAGCAGAGAAAGAAATCAACTGAATCTTTGAAAAGTTAAACACCACGAAAATGCATTCGTGCCTTCTTTCTTTCAATTGTAAATTGCCTTAAGCCTATGATGTACCATTGTACTGGCAAGGCCCTCAGAACAGCAGGAGTTAGACACGTGACATTTAGAAGACATCAGAGTGGGAAACACTGATTGGAACCACACAGCTACCAACACTAAAGTTATATGTGTTGAGGAACATGTGGTGGAATTGTGGGAAAAATGAAGCTCACAGTATTTGAAAAGAAAAACGTAAGGTTTTGTCTGTCATTTTAATCCTATTATTTTTCTTCCCATTTCCCACCTTCACATTGTTCACCTAAATTCATCAGCTGACCACGTCGGTGCCTATGGTACAAGTGTCTACCAGTCTTACGAATCCAGAGGCCAGTACACTTTTGAATTTGATGGAGATGAGGAGTTCTATGTGGACCTGCAGAAGAAGCAGACTATCTGGAGAATTCCTGCATTTGCAGAATTGACAAGTTTTGACCCACAAGGTGGACTGCAAGAAATAGCCACAGCAAAACACAACTTGGAGATCCTGATTAAACGCTCCAATTCTACCATGGCCACCAACAGTATGTGCTCATCTCCTACTTCTCTTTGGAGCCCACCTCGTCATCCCAGGCCTCACCCCCTTCTTCCCTGGTAGCAGTTGTTCTTTGCTGCTCCATGAAACTCTCTCCTTTCCAAGGAGTTCTCAGATCTTCTCATGGTAATGGCTGATCTCTCCTCACTTCTTAGAAATCATGTGTTTCCATGTTAAAACAAACATCCTTATTCCCATGATGCATTCCTTGAATCTTTCTAGAGGGCTCCCAAACGTCCTACTTAATTCACATGGCCATAGAGAGACAGACCGGCACAGGGAGTGGGGGCCACATACAGCGGCTCCAAGCAGAAGGGAGGCACGGGCTCTTTGACCATAGTGGGGGAAATCTTGGAGGGAGGGCGCCTTCACCATGCAGTGCAGAATTGCAGAGCATCACAGCTCATATCAGCCATTCATCTCTGGGCTGTTTCCTTTCCACAGAGGCTCCTGAGGTGACAGTGTTCCCCAAGTCTCCTGTGGTGCTGGGTGAGCCCAACACCCTTATCTGCTTTGTGGACAACATCTTTCCTCCTGTGATCAACATCACATGGTTGAGCAGTGGGCACCCAGTCACGGCAGGTGTTTCTGAGACCAGCTTCCTCTCCAACCCTGACCACACCTTCCACAAGATTGCCTACCTCACCTTCCTCCCCTCTGATGACGATGTTTATGACTGCAAGGTGGAGCACTGGGGCCTGGAGGAGCCGTATCTGAAACACTGGGGTACGTATGGGTTCCACCGCTTTTGGGCACCTTCTTGTTCTCTGTCAACTCTAGAAAAGTCTACCTTGTGGCTTCTAATGTCCAAAGCTCATTTTCTACTCTCTCTCTCTCTTTTTTATGTGTATGAGTGTATTGCCTACATGTATGTGAGTGTACCTGTGTCATGCATTGCCCACAGAGGTCAGAAGAGGGGTTTGAATTCTCCTGGAACTGGAGTTAAGGACGGTTCATAGCTGCCATGTGGGTGCTAGGAATCAAATCTGGGTCCTCTGCAAGAGCAGTCAGTGTTCTTTACTGCTGAGCCCTCTCTCCAGCCCTTCATTTTCTACTCTTAAAGTGTTTCTAATAATAGATTTTGTGCTCTCCTTAAGCACAGTACCCCCAAGTCTCTGCAGAATCAACTGCACAAATGTGAGCATACTCTATTCTGATATGAGCAACTTCACTTTCACAGAACCTGAGATTCCAGCCCCCATGTCAGAGCTGACAGAGACCATGGTCTGTGCCCTGGGGTTGGCTGTGGGCCTCATGGGCATTGTGGTGGGCACCATCTTCATCATTCAAGGCCTGCGCTCAGGTGGTGCCTCCAGACACCCAGGGCCCTTATGAGTCACACTTCCAAAGGTAAGGCAAGGTTCTTCTTTGTCAGAGCTGAAACCACTGCATGGAGAAGGAAGTGAAGAGGAGCTTATTGATGGAAATGTGGTTGAAATGTAAAAGAATCATGCAGTGACTTGATAAGAGCTCAGGAGACTTCAGTACCCATTGATCTCAGGTCTGTTCTGTTGCAGGTACCAGCTAAGGCAGAAGTGGATGTGCTAAATGACCTGGAGTATTTTGGGGCTTAGTTCATCATATTCTTCCTCCAAGTGTCCTTCATCTCACCTTCTCTCTTGGACCTCAGGCACGGTTTACCCTCAGACCTCACATACCCCTGGAATTCTCCCTCATCTGAGTTTTGTTTTTGTTTTTGGCTTTCAAATCTTATCTATTATGGAATCTCCCAGTGACCCTAATGCAATAGTTCCATTGGCCCAATAAATCACCTTTATAAGTTAGTTGTTCGGTTTTTTTCTATTGTCTTTTATCCTGGTGCTTACTGAGACCATATAATCCTATACCTAGGAACATGAGAAAAACTAAATATTTTCTTATAATGTTCTGGTTAAACTTTCTCTCTCCTTTTTTTCCCCACCACTGGCCTTTGTCATTTGTTTCTAATCCAATCATCAGTGAAAGTAGTATAGAAAATCTGCCGTTGATATACACTTGCTATAAGGAAATGCCAAGTGCCATCTGTGGTAGCTCATACCGGTAATACTAGCACTCTGGAGGCAGACGTAGGAAAATCACAAGTTCAAGACCAGCCTGGTCTACACAGGGCCAGCCAGAACTATATAACAAGAACCTATCTGAAAAACAAAACACAAAATAAAAAATAAAGAACTACATTCATTTTAAAACGGCCTTTTTTTTTTTTTTTTGGTTTTTTTGAGATTTTTTTTTTTTAGTTTTAGCACTGGTCCTGAAACTCACTATGTAGACCAGGCTGGCCTTGAACTCACAAAGATCCACCTGCCTCTGCCTCCCGAGTGCTGGGATTAAAGGCGTTAGCCACCATGCCTGGCTTAAAACAGCTTTTTAATGAAACAACTTTGAATCTCAAAATTGCCAAAATTGTTATCAAAAGTCAAATTTTGTTCTAAAAAACTTTTGGAATCATCAAGGACACACATTTCTTGGTGTGTCTATGAGGGCATTCCCATAGTTTAATTGAGGAGGTTAGAGCTGTCTTGAATACAGGGAGCACCATCTCATTGGCTGGGACAAGGGGGAGAAAACTGAGCACCAGCATTCACCTCTGTCTGTGTCCTGTTTGGGGCTGCACTGTGACCAGCTGCCTCAAGCTTGTGCTCCATGCCTTCCCAGCCATGATGGACTGTACCCTCAAACTTGGAAACAAAATAAACCCACCCTTCCTGAAGACCCTTTTATTGGGTGTTTTGTCCACAGCAATGACAAAAGTAATTAATACGACGACAGAGTGTACTTACCAAACAAAGATAGCTAAGGCATCAGTTACCTGAAAATGTAATTGGTAAAAAATACAAAGCATCAACATGGTAATCATACAGTATAGCTTAATGCAAAGAATCCAAATACAGATCCAAATGCAGGATTCACATGTTGTAACTAATATAGTAAACTTTACATCATTGAGTAAATTATCTAATAAACTATTAGCTTCATTTTTCCCATGTACAATTTGAGAGATGATAGTTTGCTATTTTTTAAAGTTTTACGTGTATGCGTGTGTTGCCTGCATGTAGGTCAGTGCACCCATGTCGTGCAATGCCCGCGGAGGTCAGAAAAGGCTGTCGGATCCCCTGGGACTGGAGTTATGGATAGTTGTTAGCTGCCATGTGGGTGCTGGGATTCAAACCGGGGTCTTCTGCAAGAACAACCAGTGTTCTTAACCACCGAGCCATCTCTTCAGCACCCAACATTCTATATTTATGTCCATAATTACATTGTTTGAAGAACGGATTATATTATAAGATGATATTGTAAGGAATATCTGGTTGGGGAGAGAGGGATGAGAAAGGATGTTGGAGGGAATAAATTAAAGCAAGACACACTGATATATATGTATGAAACTATCATAATGAAATTCATTATTTTATATGCTAAAATTAACTTTTTAAAAGAACGGATTCTATTACATGAAATGTGCTTTATTTTTTAAACCCCTTAATGATTTAAAGACTCAAATATGGAATTATGGGTGAATTTTTTCATAGATAATTTGGAGGAATTTTTTCTTTCATAATGAGGAGGGCTAAAACTGAGTTGGGCTAAAAGGAGAGATGGATAGGTCAACCACACTTCAGTGAATGACCACACAGTCAAGAGTATATGGGCAGTACAAATTGAACTCTATGGATTTTTTTTTTTAAAAAAAAGAGGACACAAAGTTGGGTAGGTAGAGAATGGAGGATGGACCTGGGAGAAGCTGGAGGGGTGAACATGATAAAAATACATTATATGGGAACTGGAGAGATGGCTCAATGGTTAAGAGCACTGACTGCTCTTGCAGAGGACCCCAGTTCGATTCCCAGCACCCACATGGTGGCTATGAACCATCCTTAACTCCAGTTCCAGGGGAATCCGAGGCACTTTTCTGACCTCCTCAGCATTACATGACATGGGTGCACTCACATACGTACAGGCAATACATTCATACACATAAAATAAAAATAAAAATAATAAATAAAATATAAAATTAATAAATAAAATATTTTTTTAAAAAACAGGTCTCCATTTCATTGTTAAAATATACTGTTTCATACAGAAAAACTTTTTTTTTTGGTCTTTTTGAGACAGGGTCTCCCTGTAGCCCCAGCTGACCTGGAACTTGCTATGTAGACCAGGCTGGCTTCGAACTCACAGAGATCCGCCTGCCTCTGCCTCCCAAGTGGGATTAAAGGTGTGCGCCATCATGCCCAGCAGAAAAACTCATTTTTAGTGCAACTAACACTTAGATGTTTGCACATGCATCTCTAATCTCTATATAGCTGATTATTATTAGTCAAAGTCAGTTACTTTCTGAGCTCCTTGGCACCTGAGCCTGGATATAAAGTCATCAGGTAGATTGCAGTGGTAATGTTTTTCACATCTACTAATTAACATGAAGCAAATTTTTATGCTTCTTCCTCAAAGATAACTGTTTTTTAAAAATTTACTTATTGATTTTGCGTGTGTGTGTGTGTGTGTGCATATTTCATACAGAACATCCCAAATGATCTTATTCATCTAAGTACCCACCTCCCAAGTGACACCCTCCCATTCCCCCCCGCCCCGGAGCCCACATTCTGTAATCCCAGTTACTGTCCACTGTGTTATCAGTGTCCCCAGCCATTCTCCAGTGCTTGTCCATCCACTGAGTCTAGTCAAACTATCTATAGTTCCTTGTTTTACGAAGATCAACTCTTCCTCATCTAGCAGCAAGCTGTTACCAATATTCTTTTAGATAAGATTGGGGTCTGCTGTTTCCTAATTCTATGCTGAGTTACTATCAGGAAGTCTCTTGGGCCACCCTGGCCAACAACTCAAAGAAAGGTATCACCTGTCTGGCATTGTTTCTTGTTATGTAGCCTTTAACTACACACATGGACTCGTAAAGAATTATATTGATCCCTTTAATCTTTGGTTATACTTTCCTTTTTGGTATATAAGACCATGCAGTTGGCCCAGATAAACCAATGTATTTTTACTCTTAAGGTTGTTTGAGGCTCTGTTCCTCAGGGGTCACGTGGGCTTAGGAGGAGCCCCTGGCTCCTCTCCTCTACCCGTTCCATCTATGTGAAGATAAGTCAAAGGTCCTGCTCAACTATGGATGGCTTCACTTGCAACCATGGAGGAAATGTTTCCTCTGTGTTGACCCTCCTCTTTGTAGACTGGACACTGGTTCATGTCCATCTGGTGGGGTCTCCATGTCTTCCTTGATCAAAAGAACAGGTGACTCGCCACAGTTACAGGGCATTTTGAGAGATGCTCGTAGTCCCCTGGAATTTAGTTGACCTTGCAGGGCAAGGAGCAAAAACCGTTCTTTATGTCCCCCTGACCAAATTAGTATAGGCCTCAAAGTATGGCTGTTAAACATCCAAGAAGTTTAGTTCTACCAGTCTGGTACTTTTAATTACCATGTGCTATGTAGCTAAAGCTTGGGCAAAGACCAAGGGTCCTCAGATAAACCTTGACTAAACATATATTATGTTCCTGAGCTAGTTTTATGTTTAATTTATTAGTAGGTTGTTGGACTAATATGGTTCCTTCTGTGTTTTTTTTTTTTTTTTTGGTCTATATGAAGGGTCTCCCCATAGCGCCAGCTGGCCTGAAACTCACTATGTAGACCAGGCTGGCCTTGAACTCACAGAGATCCACCTGCCTCTGCCTCCTAAGTGCTGGGATTAAAGGTGTGTGCCACCATGCCCAGCTCTGCTTTTTCTTTTTTTTAAACTAGCTAGACATTATTTATCTCTCACATTGTCTAACCCTCCACCATGGTTTCCCCATTTAAGGTGCCCCCATTTTTTCCAATTATCTCTTAATAATACCTTTCTCCTATGACCTCTCCTCTCTTGAGCTCCTTCTTTCCCTTTATCCCCAAGGTTCCTTTTATAATCCTCGCCCCCCCCCATTAAAATAACCCCATTTTAATCCATATATCCCTTATTAAGGCCTGTTTCCTACTGTTCTCTTTCAGGTTCTTTCTTTTCCTTTACCTCCCTGGTTCCTTTCCATTATCCTGGTTCCTGTAGTTATGTCTGGATACATACTCACTTATCAGGTTTTGGTTCTAGGATCCACATATGAAGGAGAACATATGTCAATTTTTTTTTCTGAGTCTGTGTTACTTCACTTAGTATAACAGTTTCTATTTCCATCCATTTACCTGCAAATTTCATG